AAGAATAATTTCATTTTTATATTTAATTTCTAAACTTTCGTTACAAGGTATTTGTGTAATATTTGGAAAAGCTCCAAGTTCGACTAGAAATGAATTTTCTGGATATTCTTGTCCATTAATTTGAAATTCTCCTTTCTCTATCCAACGGTCAATATAAAAGAATTTAATTGAATGAACTTTTTGAGACTCTTCAGGATTTGTATCACTCTGATATTTTTCTATATCATCAGAACTAATACTAAGTTTTTTTGCAACACAACAAGCACCACAACTATTGCATGTCTCATTATCAAGAACCATTAATGGAGTTAGTCCTATCCTTTCAATTAATGTTCTATAAAGAGAAATTCTTCCAGAAGACCCAATAATGCAAACTTCCTGAATTTTATTTTCAATATCCATAGACTTCATTTTATCCTTACCTTCTTCTATAACTTCTTCAATGACTCTTTTTGTCTCTTCAAGTATTTTTGACATCACTTTATTCATATCTTCTATTGTAACTTCTACGACTGCGGTTACTTCACTTGATAGGTCAATGTTAAGTGTTCCTTCATTCACACCACCATTACAGAATAATGTCTTTAATTTAATTAAACTCTGTTGAACTTTACTTTCTAGTCTTTTCATCTTTTTTTCATCACCACCATTTTCTTCCATAAATTCTTTTACATCGTCATCATCTAATTCTTTGATTTTATTCATTACTAAAGCTCTTAATTCTTCATCAATATTCTGTCCTCCAAATTCAATACTTCTTCTTGAAACCAAAAGAATTTTATTTCTATCAAAAATACATAACTGACAAAATGTATGACTTGACCCAACATCTAATAAAACTAATGGCTTAATAAAACCTGGTATTTCTAGAATTTTAATACAATACATATTAAATAAATATGATACACTTGATGCTACATCTTCTCCAATAATAACAACATCATTAAATCCAATTAATGACATTGCTTCATTAATTTGTTTTCTTTCAAGAAAACCAAATGTATAAGGGACACTAATAACCATTTGATCTATTTTATCTATTTTTAATTCGTCTAAATAACTTTTTATCATCATTGATAAAATAACTTCAATACGAACTTCTCCAAAATGTTCACAATCAAAACATCCATTAACACATTCTTTTCCTTTGATAATACTTGGTCTTCTATTTCCAAGCCATTGACAAACATGATGAATTACTCTTTCTGGAAACTTTAATTCATTATCAAGTATGCTCTTTTCATTAAATTGGAATGATGTGGTATAAGTAGCACTCCCTTGAAAGCGACTTTCTATTGATGGCTTTAAGAAATTAGGTGTAACACCCTCCCACTTAGAGATAACAATTTTTTCACTTCCTAAATCTATTCCAATTATCACAAGATTATCTGTCATAACGTAATGTTGTCTTTTTTATTATTTTATTTAGTTCTTTTGTTTAGATAATAATATTATTTTTATAACATTTTTTACTTATTACTAGTTATATATAAAAATAATGCTTTTTTTATTAAACATCATTTTAGGATTTTTCTTTTAATTTGTTGATGTTTCAGTTGTCAAATTCGTTTAGAATAATATAACCACAGAATGACATTCACCTTAATTAATTGTACAATTGTTTTAATATTTTATATTTTTTTAAACAAAGTGTGTTTTTAATATGTTATGCTTTAATGATTATTATTTCATTTCCAATGCAGGAAATACAACAAATTTTATGCCATGGTATTGTAGTAATAACAATGTGTGTTGTAAAGAAAAGCAAACAAAACATAGAAATCTAAGGTTATATAAAAGAATAATGATTAATGTCAATAAATGGCAAAGAAATAATAATAGCGGTAAAATAAATACAAGGAAAAATGGGATTAGAAGACGAAAGATACAAATAAAAACTAATAAAAAACAATGTAAATACAATAATAATAAAGATTATACAAATAACAAATATAAATGGCTAACAATAAATGAGATCCAAAAAAGAATAAAAAGAATAACAAGTGAATGGGAAAAGGAAGAATAATCAGAAATACTTAAAAAGGATAAGAAAGTAAAAAAAAGATGGTATGATATTCAACAAGAAGTATATTCAATAATAAAAAATAATAAAGCAATTAAGTGTTAATAATTGTCATTTATTCATTGATTAATGAATATTATTCATATCATAAATACACTGTTAAAATGAGTAATTCATTTGTTTGATTTATTATTTAATTATTTTCTTTTGTTTTGTGAATAAATCATTTTATTTTAT